TTTTTGGTTTTTCGAGACAGGGTTTCTCTGTGTAGCTTTGCGCCTTTCCTGGAGCTCACTTGGTAGCCCAGGCTGGCCTCGAACTCAGAGATCCGCCTGGCTCTGCCTCCCGAGTGCTGGGATTAAAGGCGTGCGCCACCGACGCCCGGCAAAACCAATGTATTTCTAAACATACTCTTTTGTTTTGTTTTTTGAGACAGTGTTTCTCTGTGTAGTTTTGGTGCCTGTCCTGGATCTCAACTCTGTAGACCAGGCTGGCCTCAAACTCACAGAGTTCCACCTGGCTCTGCCTCCTGAGTGCTGGGATTAAAGGCGTGCGCCACCACCGGCACCTCCTTTTTGTCTCCTATGTAAAGAGCTTTTAATGTCTGAACTCAGGAGGCAGAAGCAGGTGGATCTCTGAGTTGAAAGCTGGCCTGCTACAGAGAGAGAGTCCCAGGCTAGCCAGGACTGCATAGTGAGATATTATCTCCAGCAACAACAATAACAAAATACCATTGAATACAGGAATACAGTGATGGTTTGAATGTGGTTTCTTGATTTTTATATGTGTAAAGTAGCTACTTTTTTTTTTTTTTTTAACAGATTAAAGAATGTGCTGAAGAACCAGTTGGTAAAGGTTACATGGTTTCCTGTTTGGTGGATCACCGAGGCAACATAACTGAGTATCAGTGTCACCAATACATTACCAAAATGACAGCTATCATTTTCAGTGACTACCGTTTGATTTGTGGCTTCATGGATGACTGCAAAAATGATATCAACATTTTGAAATGTGGCAGTATTCGTCTTGGTGAAAAGGTATCTACTACATTTACTTCTCCAATGAACCTATGAACTTGGTAAACAAAAACTATTGTGTAACTTACATGGGAAAAAAGTAGGACTTGAGGTGATCTGAACGTTCAAATTAAAACAAACTTGTACAGACACTTCCTATGATCCAAGACTGATTGACTTAGGACATTTTGTAGGTTTGCAACAAAATATTTCAGCATTTATGTTAGCTACTTTTCATGTTGCTGTAACAAAATACCTAACAGAAGCAACTTAAGGAAAGAAGGATGGGTTTATTTGGACTTCCTGAGCAGACCCAATATAGTGAGATCCTGAGCTGATTGGTCATATGCCACCCACTGTTTGGAAACAGAGACAATACCCTTCCTCTGCTTTCTCCTTTGTTTTCAGTTCAGGACCTCTGCACCTTTTTCAAAGTAGTCTCCTTTGACTGCTTTGAATGAAACAACTCTGGAAATATTCACAGACACGCCCAGAGGTTTATCCCTAAGTGACTCTACAGCACAAAGTCAAGTTACCAGTTAGGATTCACCATCACATAGCCTGTAGGGGTGGCGCACGCCTTCAATCCCAGCACTCGGAAGCCAGAGGCAGGTGGATCTCTGCGAGTTTGAGGCCAGCCTGGTCTACAAAGTGAGATCCAGGACAGCCAGGACTACACAGAGAAACTGTATTAAGCTGCCCCACCCCCCAAAAAAGATTGATCATCACTGTATTCATTGTATTGTTTCCTGAAGTAGAAAAATTAAGACAGGTGAAGCTACTTCTCACAAGTCAGAAGAAGAAAAATAAACTGATTTTTCTTAGTTAATAAACTTATTATAATAAAGACAGAAAAGAAATAACTATCATCTAGTTTCTTCTTCCTTAGTACAACTGATCTTAGTTTGAAATTATTAGTCCAATGGTTCTCAACCTTCCTAATGCTGTGACCCTTTAATACAGTTCCTCGTGTTATGATGACCTCCAATCATAGTTATTTTCATTGCTACTTCATAACTGTGATTTTGCTACTGTTAATCGTAATGTAAATATCTGATAGGTTGAGAACCGATGTATTAGTCTGTAAACAGGATGTCACAATGGACATTTGGTTCTGGACTTGTTTGTTCAGCAAAAATGAAAGAAATAAGGAATGCAATGGGAGAGATACTCAAAGACATGGCATCATTTCTTATTGCTGTTTCTCATGAATTTGATTAGGACCTAAGATGGAGAAGAAAACACATTGTTTCTTTGTCCTCTTTGCTTATGATTTACAGACATCTTTGACAAATGGACCATTTGTGTTAGGACCCTGTAGCTGAAATGAAGGATTTAATGTTGAGTATTGTCTGCCTGTCAGCAAATCCTGGTGTTTCTTCACATCAGCACAGGTCCTGTTCCCGCTGTCAGGGTCTCTAAGTTGACCAGTGACAAAATTCCTGTTAACACTAAGTCAGCCTTAAAAGCATTGTAATCTTGATAAGAAGCTTTCAGATAACTAAGGAAAGGCTTGTTTTAAGAAAGAATGCATTTGTCTTTCCTAACAGACTAGAAATGGCACAAATATATTTGAGACACCCTGATAATTTTAGGAAGCTAAAATTATCAGATGGGGATTACATCTGACTCAAAACCTCATTCATTATAGAATCTCCACACTAGTGCTCCTGACATACTTTTCAGGAATCTTGATAATTTTTTACATTGTGTTCAGTGATCATACAATATAGTTCCCCTTTATGATAATTTTGCCTATTGCCTGTCTGAGCAAGTGCTGGTTAGTTTCCTCATCTGTCTGAATTACCAGTACGAAACCTGCTTTCATGCTGGTCAGTGGTGGTGTACTTGGGGGAGGAAGAGACAAGGGGATCTCTGTGAGTTCAAGGTTAGCCTGGTCTACAGAGCAAGTTCCAGGACAGCCAAGGCTGTTGTTACTGTCTCAAGAAACGAACAAACAAAGCGGGCAGTGGTGGCGCACGCCATTAATCCTAGCACTCGGGAGGCAGAGGCAGGCGGATCTCTGTGACTTCGAGGTCAGCCTCATCTACAGAGCAAGATCCAGGAAAGGCACCAAAACTACACAGAGAAACCCTGTCTCGAAAAACAAAACAAAACAAAAAAAACCCACCAACCAAAAACCTGCTTTCAGCTGCATGTTTCTAAGTCTGCAGTGGCTAGAACTGAAGGCCAAGACAAATTGTTTATTCGGTTCTAATAAAATAACAAATGCTTCCTTGAGCCTTCCAGGTGTAGTACACTTGTATCATTTTATCTTTTTGTTATTTTGGCTTGTTTGTTTGTAGACAAACAAATATGTATGTATGTAGCCTAGGCTAGTTTCCCAAATGCTAGTAGGAACCAACACACCCAATTCATTTTTATCTTTTGATATAGCTACCAATTAAATGAAATTTCTGTTCATACCAGATCCATCTTCTCATGCCAAGTTTATGCTTAAGGGGCAGTGATACAGGCTCAGCCTACCTCATAGAAAAAACACGTTCCTTCCTGTGTAATTTCCTGTAGGGCCACAGGCATGTTTAATCCTCTAGGGCCAAACTTCCAATTTGCTGCCACTGAAACTGACCTCTAAGGATCAGAGAAGAAAGGATTCATGGCTAATCTGTCCTCACCATTCCTCCGTATATGTATGTAAAATAATATCATGATTTCAACTTTAGTGATTTTTTTTCTCAAAATAAATTTTAGAACAAAGAAGATATATTATCAAAACCTTTTGAATTTTCTAAGTAAATGTCAGAATGAAAGGGCAGGTTTCCAGAGGTGAGAGTGTAAATGACTCACCTCTGGAGGGAAATGGCGTGTGGCTGACGAGACTGACTGCTCGGGGTGGACCTGTGCTGCATGCAGTGCCACTGCTGCACGTTGTTAATGTCTCATTTCAGTGTTTGCTGCTGTTAATCAGTCTTTCCTTCAGTCCACTGAAGTAGTCACAGGGACCATCAGAAACTTCAAACTGGAGAATGGTTTATACCAAGGAAAGTGCAGCTCTTCCTTACTGTCTGAGATTAGTGTTGGTGGTGGTTGAAGGACAGGAATGAGGAGAAGAAAAAAAATATCCACCAGACTTCTAAGTGCTTACCAAGACAGTGAATATTTTCAGATAGACTTTTTTCTTATATATGATTATATAAGAAAATATTATATAATTAATAAAATTTTATTGGAATTTAAAAGCATTCTCTGCTTTTGCAGAGGAACAAAATTCTCTGGACTTCAGGACTGGAGAGAGCACTTTGGTTAAGAGCTCTTGCTGCTCTTGCAGAAGAGCAGAATTCAATTCCCAGCACCTGTGTTAGGCAGTTCTCAAGCACCTGTAACTCCAGCTCCAGGGGATCTGATGCCTTCTTCTGGCCTCCACAGGACCCCATACACATGTGCAAATACAATGCACACATATAAATAAAGCTTTAAAAATCTAAAGAATAATTCCCAAGAATCCTATTTTCCGTTTGTAACATTGTGTGTGTGTGTGTGTAAGAGAGATGGCCAGGAGGCTTTGGATCTCCTGGAGCTGGAGTTCTGAGCAGTTGTGAGTCATCAACATAAGTGGTAGGAAATGAACCCAGATTGTCAGATTGTCTGCTGGACCAGAATGTGCTTCTTAACTGCTGAGCCTTCTCTCCAGTCTCTGTGCGTGCGCGCGCGCGCGCACGCGCGCACACACACACACACACACACACACACTTGTTTTTTTTTTTAATAGAACAAATGTTTATTTGATCCCTATATGGTAAAAGTTTTCAAATATCCTTGCTATTTTAGGATGCACATTCACAAGGTGAGGTGGTGTCATGTCTGGAAAAGGGCCTGGTGAAAGAAGCAGAAGAAAAAGAGCCCAAGATTCAAGTCTCTGAACTCTGCAAGAAAGCCATTCTCCGGGTGGCTGAGCTGTCCTCGGATGACTTTCATTTAGACCGGCATTTGTATTTTGCTTGCCGCGATGATCGGGAGCGCTTTTGTGAAAATGTGAGTCACTATGAAGCTGTTTTTCCTTTCTTTTTTTAAATATCTGTAGTACTGTATTCCAGAATGAAATACATCATCACAAACGGGCACAAATAGGAAAGCCACTGAAACAGAAGATAGAATTGGTCCCAAGGTACAAAAATAGTATTGGATGCTCAGTTTTGAAGATGTAACATCTAATAAGTTTGTTTCTGACAGTTTGAACACATTTTTTCTACTTTCTCTCACCTTTTAATTTGAGGATTTTTTTGTTTGTTTTTCGGAGTTTTTTGTTGTTGTTTTTGTTTTGTTTTTTAAAGACGGGGTCTCTCTACGTAGCCCTGGCTATTCTGGAAGTCACTATGTAGCCGAGGCTGGTATCAAACTCACAAAGATCCATCTGCCTCTACCTTCCATCTCTGCCTTCCGAGTGCTAGGATTAAAGGCATGGGATACTGTGCTGGACACAATTTCAGTTCTTGAAAACCTATTTTATCTGCAGTGAGTTGGTGGTGAGTGCCTTTATTCCCAGCGCTCAGGAGGCAGAGGCAGGTGCATCTTCTCTCTGAGTTGAGGCCAACTTGGTTCATAGGATGAGTTCCAGGACAGCCAGGGCTATGTAGAGAGATTCTATCTCAAAAAATCAAAAAGAAAAAGGAAAATCTATCTTATCTATAAGCATCTTTGCTCACCAGAAAGTCCTATTCATGTCTGATAGCTAAACCTCTAGTACATTACATTTTTATGTGGTTTTGATTAAGGTCATTAAAATAGATGGTGGCCAGGGACAGGTGGATCTTACGAGTTCGAGGCCAGCCTGGTCTATAGTGTTTCAGAATAGCTAGAGCTTCACAGAGAAATAATGTCTAAAAACAAACAAAAAGCTACCTAACTTTAAAACCTTATTCTTGGATAGAGTCTGCTGATTGGTGAGATACCTTTCAGTCCCTATCTACATTTCCTTCCTGCTTTCCTTCCTTTTTTTCTTTCCTTTGCTGCTGCTGCTGTGCACGCACGCGCTGAGGATTGAATGCAGTCCCATATACATGCTAGACCCCTAAAGCTTTGTACATATTTCACTGATCTCTTTTCTGACTCAAAGAAAAGGACTGAGTGACCTGTATGCCCTCCCTTTCTGCCTGCCATTTTGAATTTTTAGTTTAAACTGTCAGAGTCACCTATTATAAAGTCTTACTGACTCAGGTATCGAATTGTAAGAGACTCACTTGAGTTTTCTATTAACGTGTCTTAAAGGGTCTGTATAAGACTGGGTATATCATAACTACTTAGCTAATAGTAATAATGTGTATGTTTTATCTTACAGACACAAGCTGGTGAAGGAAGAGTGTATAAATGTCTTTTTAACCATAAATTTGAGGAATCCATGAGTGAAAAGGTACCACTTTGAAGGGAACTATTGTTCATAAAACTTCAACAAACTCTTTATTGTTTTATTTTTGGTTTGGGTTTGGAACATAGTCTCATACCTCAGACTGTCCTCAAACTCAGTATGGATCCAAGGGTAACATGGAAGTCCTGATCCTCTTTCTTTTACCTCCCAAGTACTGAGATTAGCATGTGCTGCCACTCCTGGCTTTCATAGCACACTCTCTTACACAGTTGTCTTGTAGTCTTTCCAAGGGGTTGATTTCAAAACACCACCCACACACTCAGATACCAAGTATCAAAAATGGTATAGTGTGTGCATAATAACCTATGCACAGTCTCCTGTGAACTTTAAGTGTCTTTAACTTTAGATTGCTTAAAATACCTCACATGCCAGATGGTAGTGGTGCACACCTTTAATCCCAGCACTTGGTAGGCAGAGGCAGGTGGATCTCTGTGAGTTCGAGGCCAGCCTGGGCTACAGAGTGAGTTCCAGGACAGCCAGGACTACACAGATGGACCCTGTCTTGAGAAACCAAAATATGTGTGTATGTATAATATATGTACATACATATCTCACCCAGTGTGGATGAGGTGTTGCTACAATTATAGTTGCTACACTATATTGTTTAAGGGATAATGACTAGAAGAGCATCTATATATAATTAATACACATTACTGTTTTTCCAAAATAATTCAAATCTATGTATCCACAGAAATGACTTTACCAAGGTATGAATGACTACTGATAAAGCATATATTCCAGAGTTGAGACACTTTTGTTTAAGTACATGAAGTATATTTGGGCACCTGATGTGGTGGTACATGCCTGTGATAACCTTCACTTAGAAGGCTAAGGCAGAAGGATTTGAAGTTTGAGGCCAGTCTGGGTACATAGTGATACTCCATCTTAAAAAGCAATTAAAGACTGGCGAGATTGCTCAGAGGATAAAGGCACTTGCCACCAAGCCAGATGACCTGAGTTCATCTGGGAACCCACGTGAGTGAAGGAGAAACTCAGCCTTTGCAGGTTGTCCTCTGACCTCCACAGACATGTTGTAGTGCACCCATCCACCACCTACACACACGCACATATAAAGTAAATACATTAAAATAAATAACAAAATATATTTGTCTTAAACTAAGAAAATGAAGCTCCAATTGTGATGCTTATATAGTGAGCAGTCATTTGAGAGTAAAATTGGAGAAATTTTTAAATCAGAACTACATTAATGCCAGCTCTGCATACTCAGGTAGTATAGGCTAACCACACCAATGTCCTTCACAGGTAGCCATTTGTTTAATTTTTTAGTATTATCTCCTTAAATGTTCTTCTTACCATTAGTCCTGTCACTAAATGGACACAAGAATCTTTTTTTTTTTTTTTTTTTTAAGATTTATTTATTGTGTATAGTGTTCTGCGTGCATGTATGCCTGCTGCCAGAAGAGGGCACCAGATCTCATTATAGATGGTTGTGAGCCACCATGTTTGGGAATTGAACCCAGGTCCCCTGGAAAGAGCTGCCAGTGCTCTTAACCTCTGAGTCATCTCTTCAGCCCTACAAGAATCTTTTTAACACTTTGAAAACTAATTTTGCAATTCTATCTTTTGCTTTCTTATACAGCTCAAGTATTTACTGTCTTCAGAATATATAGAAAGTTCTATTTAACAGAACACCCAAATATAATATCAGCTGACACTTCAGCTCTTGTGAAATTTATACCAGGAGTATGGTTGGAGAGGAGAGTTTAGTGTATTAGGACCCACCAAACATCTATGTGCTGCCCTTCTAGCAACAATTAACTAAGAGTTCACCATCAGATTCCAGAGTGTCCCATTGATTTACTCCTAATTCTTTTCATAGTATTATTTTTTGTGTATGAATGTTTGGCCTGTGTTTATGTATATGCACCATGTGCATGCTGGCAGAAGTCAGAAGAGGGCTTCAGAATCCCTGGTACTGGAGTTAGGGAATGCTGTGAACTACCATGTAGGTGCTGGGAATGGAATGTGGGTCCTCTAGAAGAGATAAAAGTGCTCTTAACTGCTGGATCATATCTCCAGGCCCTAGAGCCAGATTTTAAACAAAATTACAGATAGGCATTTTGGTTAAAATGCAACTGTTGACATGCATGGTTCTGTGTTTCTGCTTATTAGATAGCTGAGCCACATTAAGTGATCTCATTCATCTTACACTCTTTCCTCAGTGTAGAGAAGCACTAACTACACGCCAGAAGCTCATTGCCCAGGATTATAAAGTCAGTTATTCATTGGCCAAATCCTGTAAGAGTGACTTGAAGAAATACCGATGCAATGTAGAAAACCTTCCTCGGTCCCGGGAAGCCAGGCTTTCCTACCTTCTGATGTGTCTGGAGTCAGCTGTGCACAGAGGTGATTCTTCATTTCCTTTACCCTCTCATTCCTTTCCCAGTTCCCATCCTAAGCTTTCTGTACCTGCAATTAGTAGTTCCCTTCTGTGTTTTTTTCATACCTTTTAATTTGTAGAATGGCTACTGAAGCATTCTTTAGAAGAGTGAGATAACATGTTACATGAGTTTTAGGTCAAAGTGATTTGACTTCAAATTATGGCTCTATTACTAAACTAACTGGCTGGGTAACTTATGTGGGGGGAGTTGTTGGGGGCAGGTGTTGCTTTTTTCAGTTTTCTCTGATCACATTTATAGCTCAAAGACATGGGGGAGCTGTTGTAAATATTTGAAGGATAGTTTTTTCACAAACTTCAGCTGTTTAGGGCAATAGGGATTCTTCTCTGGGTTTCTTTACTGCCCCTAATAGTTTTCTTATTGATAAGACATCTGGGACTGTGCTATGTAACATGAATGAAGCCATGAGTTCAACCCTCCACATCAAAAACAGAAAGAAAAAAAGGGCTTTCTTTGGCAAAACATTTGCCTTATTAGTTCATAAGTTCTGTAATGTACAACCCTGCAGGATAAACCTGGGTCTGGAGACTGTTTGCTTTATGCTGCTGAAGCTTTTGCCAAGGTCTAAGCATTTCAATGTAGATATTAATTCCATCCAGAAAGGTTATGACTTAATTCTTTTCCAGACAGAAAAGTGTGCTTTAGTTTATAGAGATTACAGGTCCTCAAGCTCACTTTTCATAACTGTGTGACTTACCCCTAATAGGTCGACAAGTGAGCAGTGAGTGCCAAGGGGAGATGTTAGATTACCGACGCATGCTGATGGAAGATTTCTCTCTGAGTCCTGAGATCATCCTGAGCTGCCGAGGGGAGATTGAACACCACTGTTCTGGGTTACATCGGAAAGGGCGAACCCTCCACTGTCTGATGAAAGTAGTTCGGGGTGAAAAGGGGAACCTTGGAATGAACTGCCAGCAGGCGGTAAGGGAAAATGTTTCTACTGCCACCTTGTTAATGTTACTATTGTTGTGATGAAACACCGTAACCAAAAGCAACTTGGGGAGAAAAGGGTTAATTTTAAATACTTACTCTTTCACATCATAGTTCATCATTGAACGAAGCCAAGGCAGGAACTCAAACAGGGCAGGATCCTGGAGCAAGAGTTAATGCAGAGGCCATGGAGGGATGCTGCTGACTGACTTGCCCCTTGTGGCTTGCTCAGCCTACCTTTTTATAGATCCCAGGACCACCTCCCTAGAGGTGGCACCACCCACAATGGCCTGGCCCTCCCCCATCAATCACTAATTAAGAAAATGCCCTACAGGTTTGCATACAGCTTGATGTTATAGAGACATTTTCTCAGCTGAGAATCCTTCTCTCAAATGACTCGACCATGTGTCAAGTTGATATAAAACTAGCCAGAACAGCTGTCACATTTTATCAGCCAAGGAACTTTTACCTAACAGGCAGTGTCTCTAGATTACTTCTGACATCACAGAGAACATCAGATACTAACGATAGACAAAAATATTGTTCCTATGGGCAGGTTTTAATAAGGATGTAGAAGTTGCTACACAACAAAGCTTGAATTCATAATCAATAAAAAACAGCTCTGGAGTTGGGCAAAGACAATGCATTATTTTTCTGTTTCTAAAGAACTTGCCAAATTGGATTACTAAATGCAGAATAAAGGCAAATCAGTTTCTGCAAAATCAAGCAGAAGAGAACTCGCCTGTCTCAACAGGTTTGATTGAGTTGAAATTGAGAGCTGACATGAATGGAAAATTTCTGGCAGTTTCTTTTTTCACAGATGTGTCACAAGGCTGAATCATTTTCAGAATCATACTGTCTTTATTCATTAACCAGGGCAACTATGAATAGAAAGGTCTTTTGTAGCATGAATCTTAAAGAGTCTTTATTAATAAAAACAAACCTGGGGCAGGTATTGGGTTGAACACTGGAAGATCAGAGAGACAGAACAAACCACAGTTAACCTCACCTGGCCAACTTCTCAGCTGGTCTTGTTTCCTCAGACTGGAAGCTTCTGTGTCCTCATATCTGAATGGTTCTCAGCTGAACTGTGCTGCTCAAACTGTGCGCCACCACTGCCCAGCCACTTGAGTTTTATAACCTAAGTGTCACTTTAGAAAACCACAGTTCAGGACTAGAGAGATGACTCAGCAGTTAAGAGCACTGGCTGCTCTTCCCGTGGACCCGAGTTCAATTCTGTGCACCCACATGGCAGCTCACAACTATCTGTAACTCCCAAGATCTGACACCTGCACACAGACGTACAGGCAAAACACCAATGCACACAAAAATAAGTAAGTTATTTTTTAAAAAAGAAAGAAAACCACAACTTGTTCTATACTCTGTTTTTGGTATTTTTGTTAAAAACTAAATATTACCTTTATTTTATAGCTAATCATGTAAAAATGAGAATTTCAGTTTGCAACAAAATTTGATAGTCTGAAACACAAGCTTATATAAGCTTTGGATATGGAGTAAAATTTCACCTTAGCTTCTGTTAACCCTGACCCACAGTAGATAGTATCGCAGTTCTATTATGCATCTTATGGTGGGTGAAAGGACAACTGTAGCCTCTTCTCTAAAATAGCAAATCAGGGTTGGGGATTTAGCTCAGTGGCAGCAAGTGCAAGGCCCTGGGTTCGGTCCTCACCTTTGGAAAAAAAAAAAAAGAAAAGAAAAGAATAAAATAGCAAATCAGCTAGAAGGAAGGCTTCTGGAGCCTGCCGTGGACTGCATTGTTGAAGACAGTTCCTCTGGAGTCCTCTTTGATGGCAGTTGCCCTCGGTGCCCTCCATGCCGATGAATATGCTGCTGCTGCTGCTGCTGCTGCAGTCCAGGATGAATCAGGAGACAGCTCTGCTGCATTTGCTTTTCATCCTTAATTTCATCTAGAAAGGTTGTGGAAGGAGGATAGGGAAAAAAATCTATCTCTGCTCAGCCCGCACCTGTTGAAAAGTGTTTAGGAAAAGAAAATAGACTGGACTCAACTTTATTTTAAGGACATAGTTCACTCCCCAGGCTTTCTGAAAGTTAGCTTGTTGAAAGAACTAGTGACTCAGCTTCAAAGATAAGTAAGTACCACCCACATCACCCTTTGTGCCCAGAAAAATTACTTTCCAAACCCAGAAAATAGCCACAAGTAGTGAACTATGTGGTTTTGACTTCATTAAGACTAGCTTAGGAAAGAAACACTTCATTTTTATTGTTTAGATTTTTTTTTTTTTTTTTTTTGTTTTTCGAGACAGGGTTTCCTCTGCGTAGCTTTGCGCCTTTCCTGGAACTCACTTGGTAGCCCAGGCTGGCCTCGAACTCACAGAGATCCACCTGTGTCTGCCTCCCGAGTGCTGGGATTAAAGGCGTGCGCCACCACCGCCCGGCTGTTTAGATTTTTTTTTAGCCTTTTTTTTTTTTTTCCCCCACAAAAACTAAAGGCATTTCTCCAAGGGGAGAGAGTCTTTCTTAGTTTTCTATATTATCCATCCTTAAACTGAGTGCTTTAAAGCAATTTGGGTGGATTTCTTTTCACTTTAAAAGTTTTATTCCGCCGGGCGGTGGTGGCGCACGCCTTTAATCCCAGCACTCGGGAGGCAGAGCCAGGTGGATCTCTGTGAGTTCGAGGCCAGCCTGGGCTACCAAGTGAGTTCCAGGAAAGGCGCAAAGCTACACAGAGAAACCCTGTCTCGAAAAACCAAAAAAAAAAAAAAAAAAAAAAAAGTTTTATTCCTTGACACAGCAAATTTCAATACCTGTAATTGACTATTAATTTTTTTCACCTCTGCTTGATTAATTTAATGATCTGCTAACAGTCATCAGCACGTACTGAGCTGTAAAGCATGTGAATAACTATTATCTTAGTGTATGCTTCTCCAAATTTACCATGATCACCAACTATTAAGTTGTCTTGAGTTACGACTAATAGAGTTCAGCCCATGCTTTCTCACACCAGGGAAGACTATAGCACAGTCTACTCCCCAGGCAAATTCTCTCTGAAGCTTTTTTTTTTACCTCTAGGGGCCAGAATATATGTACAATCATAACGTCAGTTTATATTGTTTTGGTTTCGGTTTTGCTTATTTTGAGGCAGGATCTCGCTATGTAGTCCTGGCTGTCCTAGAACTTGCTATGTTCACCAGTCTAGTTTTGAACTCAAAGAGGTCCTCCTGCCTCTGCCTCCCAAGGCCTGGGTTTAAAGGCGTTCATCACTGCATGTATCTCAGTTTGTATTTTTTTTGTTGTTGTTGTGTGTTTGTTTGTTTGGAGGGAGGTTTGGTTTTTTTGTTTTTTTTTTTCAAAAACAGGGTTTCTCTGTGTATCCCTTGCTGTCCTGGAACTAGCTCTGTACCCAGGCTGGCCTCGAACTCAGAGATCCACCTGCCTCTGCCTCCCAAGTGCTGGAATTAAATGCATGTACCACCACCGCCCAGCCAGAAAGTATACTGATTCTTGTTTTTTTCTTTCTTTTTTTCTTAAAGATTTATTTATTTTATGTCCATGAGTGCTCTATCTGCATATATGCCTTTATGCCAGAAGAGGGCATCAAATCTCACTATAAATGGTTATGAGCCACCATGTGGGTGCTGGGAATTGAAGTCAGGACCTCTAGAAGAGTAGTGCTCTTAACCTCAGCCATCTCTCCAGCCCCAAACTGTCCAATTCTTAAGTGGGGAAAAAAGAAATTAAACCAGTAAGGGTTGTAATTTTCTGTTTTTTCTTTCTCTTATTTAAGATTTTCACTTCCATATGCCACCCATCTGTAGTAATGATGATCTTCTGTCTGTAAAATGCTTTGCAGTTTACCTTATCTTTTTCATAGAGCATTAATTTTTGTGTGACTATGTGTTTGTTTGTTTGTTTGTTTGTTTGTTTGTTTGTTTGTTTGTTTGTGGATAGGATTTTACTGTGTATCCCTGGATATGCTGGAATTCTAAACCAAGCTGACCTTGAGCTCAACAGAGGTCTATGTGTCTCTGCATCCTGAGTGCTACGGTTAAAGATGTGCATCACCACACTTGGCCATTTCTTAAAATCTGCAGTTAAGGCCCAAGTGGTGGTGGTGGTGTACACATTTAACCCCAGCACTCAGGAGGCAGAGGATGGTGGATCTCTGAGTTTAAGGCCAGCCTGGTCTAAAGAGCAAGTCACAATATGATCAGAACTACACAGAGAAACCCTGTCTTAAAAAGACAACAACAAAAAATCTTCAGTTAAAAGAACTAAAATTTGTGGGGCTGAAGAGATGGCTCTGGGATTAAGAGCATATGCTGTTCTTCCAGAGAATCTGAGTTCACTTCCCAGCACCCACGTTATGCCTTAAAACATCTGTAACTTTAGTCCCAGGGTATCTGACCCTCTCTTCTGGCCTTCACAGGCGCTGTATGTGCATGGATCATGCAGACATACATGGAGGCAAAACATTCATAGTCATATGAAAAAAATAGAGTGCAAAAACTTAGAGGCAGATGAACTTGTGCAGTTCTCAAGGCTAGTGTTCCACAGGAACAGAACCATTACTTAAACCTGGGTCTTCTAGTCCAGGTTACTCAGTGCTCCACTCTGGAAAGAAAGGATGGGCCGAGCAAAGTAGATGAGAAGGAATGTATCCTCAGTTTCAGATGCTTTACAACAGCCATTTGCCAGTGTTAAGGTATAAATGTAGTTGGCAAAAAGTAAGCAATTGTAACAATTCTTGTTTTCTTTTTTTTTTTTTAATTTATTTAACTTTATTTTATGTACACTGGTGTGAAGGTGTCAGATCTCTTGGAACTGTAGTTACAGACAGTTGTGAGCCGCCATGTGGGTGCTGGGAATTGAACTCAGGTCCTCTGGAAGAACAGCCAGTGTTCCTAACCACTGAACCATCTCTCCAGCCCTTGTTTCCTTTTCTTATTTTTGTTTTGTTTGTTGTTTTTGTTTTTGTTTTTTGTTTGTTGTCTGTCTGTTTTTCGAGACAGGGTTTCTCTGTGTAGCCCTAACTGTCCTGGAACTCACTCGGTAGACCAAGCTGGATGAACTCAGAGATCATCTACCTCCTGAGTACTGGGATCAAAAGTGTACACCCTCACCCACCCAGAACGTTCTTGTTTTCTAATTCCAGCTGTGAGTTAATTCAAATCTCTCACATCCGCCTTGATAATAAAACATAGTATACTTGTTATGTGCCAGTGTCAGCGTAGTGAATATACCTACACCTGATGAGGACCAGACCAAATGATCTCTAATTGGAGCTGTCTTTTCTTTACTCTTTTCAACCCTGGCTTCCTTCTAAGCAGCAGGTTGAGAAATCTGATTAGCAGGAGGGAGCCTGCATGGCATATTGTAAAGACTTGTTGCAGATGCCCAGTGAAGGGTCCAACCGGGTAAATATGCAATTGCCACAGTGAGTGCAACAGGAAACCTGGAGCAAGTGGAGAAAACAGTTGGAAACTGTTCCATCTGAGTTTTCCAACTTGGCCAGTAACATTTGTAGAACCTTGTTTAGATTGTATTGTGATGTCCTGGACTGAGCATCTGATGATATGACATTGTTCTTCTCTGTTCCTAAATTACCTTTTTTTTTTTTCTTTTCAACCCAGCTTCAGACACTGATTCAGGAGACTGACCCTGGTGCAGATTACCGCATTGATCGGGCTTTGAATGAAGCTTGTGAATCTGTAATCCAGACAGCCTGCAAACACATACGCTCTGGAGACCCAATGTAGGTTCTCTGACTTGTCGCCCTTTGTTGTATTTTATTTGGCAGCACAGAGAACGTTCCCTCAAGTGACTTTTGAGTAACTTAACATCTTGACTGAAATATTGTTGAGTAGTGACCCATACCAGACTTTTGTTAAAGCTAATATGAAATTGAGACTTCTGGTAGGCCTCATCCATGATGAAGAGACATCTCAGCCCAGAACTGCTGACACTGTCTGGGCATATATGGGCCTTGCGTCGTCACTGAGTAACCTACAATGCAGAGGCACTCAGGATAAAGGGACATTGTGCACTGGCACTCTGTCCTTCTCATCCTTTTGTGCACTGGCTACTTGAAAACCACCTGAGAGCAGTTAGTCATAATTGAGACTGAAGACACAATGGGATGTGTAGAAGCTATGGCCATAGGCAAACCGAGTAGTGGCATTTTATCCAAGATAGCAGAACGCTAACTAAATGATGAAATTAATTTAAAATATTTGATTTTCATTTGTTTATTCCATATGATGTGAAAGCAGTTCCTAAAACCAGATTACAAGTAAGAACAGATTTCCTGTTTTACATAACTTTTTCATTGGTTGGTTGGTTGATTTTGTTTTGTTTTGTTTTCGTAGTTTTTTTAGACAATGTTTCTCTGTGCTATCCTGGAACTTACTTTGTAGACCAGGCTGGCCTTCAGCTCAGAGATTACAAGCCTGCCTCTGCCTCCCAAGTGCTGGGCTTAAAGGCATGTGCCACCACTGCCAGCTCACATAACTCTTTATAGCGGGCATCTGGCAGTGCCTAACAGTAAATTGAATGTAGTCCAGGCTTATCATCATTCTTCTATATGAAAGCTCCTGCTGCTCACATTGCAGTAAGGAATTAAAATGCTATTTGCGTAAAGCTTTTTATGTTGGTAAAGAGGTAGATGTGTGTACTTAGACTCAGAATGTTTGTAGTGTAATAACTATGTCAACCAGAAAAGGGACAAGGGAAAAGAAGGAGATGCATTTTGTGTGTATGATTTTTTCCAAGCATACATATCTGTGTGCTGCTTGTTTGCCTGGTAACACACAGTGGCCAGAATGGGGCCTCAGATTCCCTGGAACCAGAGGAGTTATGGGGGTGCTGGGAATTGAGCTGAGTCCTGTTGAGGAGCAGTCAGTGCTCTTAAACACTAACACATCTCTCCATCCCCAACACTTTGGTTAAGTACAGTATGTAGCACTTTGCTAGGTCTTGATTTGAACAAACATTTAAAAAGACATGAGAGAGTTGAAAATATTTGAGGGGACACAACAGGATTTTATTTTATATGAAGGATTTACCTTTTTGTTGTTGCTGTGGATATGATAATCTCAAATTTTAGAGAAATAGACTGAAGTATTTACTGAGAATTGCTTCAATTATTAGCAAGAGACTGAGTTAAAACAAATTTGGTTATAGGTTCACAAAAGCCCTGGGGAGGGAAAATAGTCTGTATACTATTTTCTACTCATGTATATATTGTAAAGTTTTCACAGTAAATGATTAAAAAGAAAGCTGCTACACAGATCTTACGTATGCAGAATTGGAAGTGCAAAATCACTTAAAGCTGGTAGAAGAAATAATTACTGTCAAATTCAGCTAATTTGTGTGCTTCTCAGAAAAATAAATCATATCACCCTAGGGAAATACTGTATTAAAATAAGTGTTAGAGCCTGTCATCGGAATGTTTCTTTCATTACAATTTCACTTCTGTTCGACCAGGATTCTTTCATGTCTGATGGAACACTTATACACGGAGAAAATGGTGGAAGACTGTGAACACCGTCTCTTAGAGCTGCAGTATTTTATCTCTCGGGATTGGAAGTGAGTATTTTAAAACCAGTAGACGGCATGGCCTCATTCTGTCTCCTTGTGTGGTCAGTATCAGATGGATGGGTTTTCATGTGGGAAGAATTTAATAGTTTATCAGTGTGTACCTATGCATAATGTGTGGGAGCCAGAGGACAGCTTGATGGAGTCAGTTCCTTGCCCTCCACTCTTACATAGGCTCTGAGGATCAAGTTACGGTCACCAGGCTTGCACCATAAAGTGCTTTAACCATGGAACCATCTCACCAGCCCACATGTGTTTTTAAACCCAGGGCTTCATACTTACAGAGTATACACTCCTCTACTAAGCTGTGTCCCCAGACCCCACTTTTATATTTTATGATAATCAGTAACAAGTTAACAAATTCTCTTCAAATTCTGGGATAGCTAACTATCTCCAGCCCCCAGAAACCCTATTCTTACCACTTCTAGAGCAGTGTCTAAAAGCAGAGTCAGCCCTCTGCCAGTCTGTAGGGATGCCAAGCATCCCTTTTTGCCACTCCTTTGGAAGTTGGACTCAAATCATTTCTAATACCACAGATATCTATTGTGAGGGAGTCCTAGTACCTGTGCAGACAGCAAGAGCATCTTCAGCTTTGATTCGAAAAAGATAACTGCATAAATGACAGTTTTATAATCCCTCTGTCATCCTGTTAGCAAAATAGAAAGAGAGGATGAGTGCTCTCTTACACGTAGTCAGGATCACTGTAGTTTTTGGCTGTGTTCACCTCTTCTCTCTGTGCTATTTTCTTTCCTTCTCCAGTGCTGCTGACACTGGATTTTACTGCTGCTTCTGCCTTCCATAATCAGCTGCTTCCTGTTTAACTTGCTTAAATCTTTACTCTTTCTTTTTTATTTATTTATTTATTTACTTATTTATTATGTATGCAGAAGTGGGTGCCAGATCTCATTACAGATGGTTGTGAGCCATCATGTGGTTGCTGGGACTTGAACTCAGGACCTCTGGAAGAGCAGTCAGTGCTCTTAACCTCTGAGCCATCTCTCCAGCACATCTTTACTCTTTCCTGATGATTAATTTGTTAATTTTGTTCACATGTGTCAATGGAAAAGGTTACTTGAGGTTTGATGTGTTTTTATAGATTAGTCTGGAAGGCCAGGCATTGTGGCACGAGTGCACATTTATATAATGGAGACTGAAGCAAAAATATTGCAAGTTCAAGACTGCCCTTGACTGCATAGCAAGACCCTGTTTCAAATAAACAAACGGGTATGGAAAGGATCAAAGGAAACTGGATGATAGCTTTCCCAAGCTTCCTCAAGCCATCTGAACTGAAATAACTTGAGTTTACAGCATGTCTCCCTAATCAAGACAGTGATTTCTCCTCCTCAATTCTTTCTCCTAGGATCAAAAATGTGCTTCATAATCTCCTCCTCCTCCTCCTCCTCCTCTTCTTCCTCCTTCCTCCTTCCTCCTTCCTCCTTCTTCTTCCTTCTTCTTCTTCCTGATTTCTCCTCCTCAACTCTTTCTCCTAGGATCAAAAATGTGCTTCATAATTTCTTTTCTTCTTCTTCTTTCTTCTCTTCTTCTTTCTTCTTCTTAGCTGAGGACCGAACCCAGGGCCTTGTGCTTGCTAGGCAAGCGCTCTACCACTGAGCTAAATCCCCAACCCTCATAATCTCTTAAAAGCTTAATACTAGCCTCTCTCCTGCCATTAAATAGGCCCTCCTACAATTGACAATAGAATGTGAACAATCAGGTATCCCTTGGTCTGATTTGAGGAAAAAAAGCCTTAGTTGATTCAAAGTTAAATGTTTTATAATTTGATAAGCAATTTTCAGGCAAATTAAAAAACCCACTACTTTATCTTCCATAAGAGGATGAAGAGAACATTTTTGTTGTTGAGTGTTCTGAGTAGAAGACTGTTTTTCCTGTCATTTCCTGATCTTGTTGAAGCTAGTGCATCAGATAAGGTTGCACTGCATTCATGCTAGGAAAAAGTACTTAGTGAAAGATTGCCTAGGCTAACGACAAACCTAGCTCTACTCTGCTGCCTGGCCTGCTGAGTCTTACAGTTAGTAATAGTAAGTACCGTACAGTGCTAGAATGACATCTTTGAGGGAGACTAAATGTCTTCTGTATGAAAGTTAACAAGTTTCTGTAAGTTGACTGTTGTGTCATTGTGAGTGGCATTTAGAGTGGTGTGTGGCTGCTTATGCCTGTAATCTGTGTTTAGGAGGTAGAGGCAGGAGGACCAAGAGTTCATCCTTCAAAGCCAGCCTGAGTTCTATGGGACCTTGTCTGAAAGGGGGTTGTGGAGACACCAAAACTCTTAGCATGTCTGAGAAGGAAAATATGGAAAGGAATGCTTCTCCTTTCACTCTTAACCTTATAGGTTGGACCCTGTTTTATACCGAAAATGCCAAGGAGATGCTTCTCGCCTTTGCCATACCCATGGTTGGAATGAGACCAGTGAACTCATGCCTCCTGGAGCTGTGTTTTCTTGTTTATATAGGCACGCCTACCGTACAGAAGAGCAAGGAAGGAGGGTATGCTGTCATCCTTGGTTTCTTCTTAATGCCGTTTGTTTTCTTCCTGTTCTGGTGTATGTGGTGGGATGGGAGGGTGTTTACCACTAGACACATAATCATTCAGTGAGTATCCCTGCTGGTACAGTTGTCCACCAGCTTCTTTCCTGTGTGTTGTTGGTTTTGTTTTTTGTTTTAAACAAAGTATATGGAGAAGCATTTCCGGGTTTTCTCTCTAAATTTCAAAATTACGAATCACAAATGGACAATTAAATTCTGCTGTTCTAACTTTATTTAGTCTTAAAGATCCATTAGAAGCTTTTAGCCAGGATACAAATGGTCCTTTAGCCTTGTGCCTTTTACAGCCAAACACAAGTGCTTCATATTAACGAGATCTCTCTGTCAATGCACTAGTTGGAGCAGAAACTTCAATACCAGCTTCTTGGCAATTCCCTGCCCCAGTTGCCACCCTTTGGTGAGATATTTGTGTGAGCTTAGCTGTCATCTGGTGCCACACAGACATGCTGCTTGCTCTCATTCTGAGACCCTATTGAATGTCATTTCTGCATATGTTACAGATTGTAGCCTTGTTATTACGTTACGTACCTGTACGTACCTGAGTACAGATACCTCTTCTGAGCCTAGTCTAACTGTCTAGGATTCAGAACCAGGAGATACAATTAAAAAGTGTCATGCTTCATTTGCTAAAATCCTGGCCCAGTTTTTATTCTGTCATATCAGAAAACATAGTATTCCTCATTAGCTACAGATGCTCCCATATCCTGGTATCTGGTTAGTCATAACAGTAGGGGGTTCTTTCTCTTGTAAAGAAAGAATAGAATCCCTTGTGCTAAGTTTTTTTATTTTTTTATTACATTTTTATTTTGTGTTTACATACACAGAGACACTTGTCATAGTATGCATGTAGAAGCCAGAAAACAACTTGGAAATGTTTATTTCTTCTTCCACCATAGGAGTCCCAGGGATCATCAGGCTCAGCAGACATGCCTTTACCCCCTAAACCGTCTCACCAGACCCCCTGTGCGAGCTTTAAAAAAATACTTGTTACAGAATTGAACTGAAATTCACAGAACATAAAGTTAGCCCTTTAATGGAAAAAAAATCAATGGTATTTGGTACATTCACGTATTGTGTAAATATTGTCAGAATATTTATTCTGTGACTCTGAAAGGGAACTCCTTGAGCCTGACTCAGTGGGTAAACGTGCTTATTGCCGAGCTTTATGCTGAGTTCAACCTCCATAACCCACTCCTGTAAGTTGTCTTCTGATCCACACATAGGTCATGGCACTTGGACAACTACTATACACACAGGCACAAATAAGTAAATAATTAAATAGATGTCATTTTTTAAAAAGTAAAATGAAACCCCATACCCATTAAGGAATTAGGTCTGTGTCCCTGCCTCAGGTATGTGTTTGTTCTGGGCATCCACTGGTGTGATGTTCACCTGTTTCACCCTTGGCTCATTCTATACAATTTTCCCATGACATATAGCCCTGGCTGTGTAATCGATGTTCTGTCATCGCCTGCATGCAGCATGTATGTGTAAATCTTGCCTCAGTCAGATCTAACATGTTACCATACTCATGGAGTAGCAAGATAATGTTACTAAACAAAGCCCTGCTTTGGACGGATCTGGTTCACTTTTTTTTCCTTTGGAATACTCAGAAAAGGACATCATATATATCTCTAGTGGAAAATGCTGACTGTATTCCTGCTTGGAGAAATTTCAACTTCAGCAGTTCCCTAAAGCATTTAATTCTTATCCTAGAAAATCTAATTTGGTATAAAGTTTGGGGAGTAAACTACAGGGCTAGTTATTAGTTGGCTGATAAGAGATTTGTTCTGCCTAGGGACTTGATATATTTATTTTTGTTACCTTTAAAGTCTTTTGCTCATTTCTTTCTCATGTAGCTTTCACGAGAATGCCGGGCTGAAGTACAAAGGATCCTACACCAGCGTGCCATGGACGTTAAACTGGATCCTGCCCTCCAGGATAAGTGCCTGATAGATCTTGGGAAATGGTGTAGTGAGAAAACAGAGACTGGGCAGGTTGGTGACAGAGCTGCCATTTGCTTTCTCTAATCATAATGTTAGTGACTCATATTTAATGTAAAATACCCATGGAGTCCATCTCAGTATTTGCTGGTGTGATTTTTTTTTTTTTTTTTGTATTTTCAGTGTTCTTTCTAGAAGAAACCCACCAGAGGTTTTTGTTTGTTTGTTTTTGTTTTTTGCTTTTATGTAAGAATAGTTATAATTTTCATATGTTTTAATGTTATGGTTTCTTTATTATTAGAGTTGATTATTTTCCCTCTTTGTGTAATGTTTAGAGCCAAGGGGACTGGGGAGATGGCTCAGAGGTCAAGAGCACTTGTTATTCTTGCAGAGGACCCGGTTCCTAGGACCCACATGGCAGCTCACAACCATCTGTAACTCCAGTTCTAGAAAATATAATGCCTTCTTCTGACCTTCTCAGGCCCAGGCATGCACATGGTGCACATACATACATACATTCAGGAAAAACACTTATGTATTTAAACTAAAAGAAATTTTAAAATTTTTAGAAAGAAAGAAATCTTAGAGCCAGAGTATGTCCTGCTCTGACATGTATGTAAGATTTTGTGGTAGGCATTTTTTGTGCTAGGCATTCCATTTTCCTTAACATATTTTTCTTTTCTTTCCTCATTTTATTTTCTATTTTTTAAATTTACTTTCTAACATTATATGCTACATTAAATCCTTTTGTGATTGCCAGAGTATTTTGTGGTATGTGTATGTGTAGAAATAAATAAAAGTTCTGGGGCCGGGCGGTGGTGGCACACACCTTTAATCCCAGCACTCGGGAGGCAGAGACAGGCGGATCTCTGTGAGTTCCAGGCCAGCCTGGTCTACAGAGCAAGATCCAGGAAAGGTGCAAAGCTACACAGAGAAACCCTGTCTCGAAAAACCAAAAAAAAAAAAAAAAAAAAAAAAAGTTCTGGAATGCATCAATAGATAGTGTGCTTACTGTAGCACAGTCCTACAAGATGCATGGAAATGTAGTGTTTTTCCACTTAGTTGAAAGTCACACATAGCTAGAAATGATAGCATATGCTCTTAATCTCAGAGCAGTTTGGTGGTGGAAACAAGACATCAGTTCAAAGATAGCTTTGGCAGCCAGGCATGACTCACTCCTTTAATTCCAGCACCCAAGAGGCAAAGGCAGGTGGATCTCTGTGAGTTTGAGGCCAGCCTGGTCTACAGAGTGAGATCCTGTCTCAAAAAACAAAAACAACAACGAAAAGATAGTCTTTGGCTACATAGAGAATTTGGAACCAGGCTGAGCTGCATGAGACTTTATTTCAAACAACAAGGACTAGATAGATAGTCTGGCTGGTAAAGTGCTCATTTTACAAGCATGGGTTTGATCCTCACACCCAAGGTGAGGTGGCTCATGCTTATAATCCCCAGCACTGGGGAAGCAGAAAGAGGCAGGTACCTGGATCTAACTGTGAAACCAACCTAACCAAATTGTCAAGTCCCCACATCCCAATGAGAGACGTCTCACAAACAGTCCAGATAGTTACTAAGGAATAACACCTAAAGTTGACCTCTGGTCCCCTGTGCATGTGCACACAATGCCAACACTTGCACATGATGCCTACACATATATGTTGTGGGGAGAGGATACAATTTTCTACTCTATCCTGACAATTATAGGCAATTAATGGCTGTGGAGAGAAAAATTTTAATTTTTTATTTAACTTTTTGAGATACGGTCTCATTATGTAGCCCTGGGTGGTCTGGAACTTGCTACATAGACCTGGCTGGCTTCATAATCATAGAGATCTGTCTGCCTCTGCTTACCTGAGTGCTGAAATTAAAGATGTGTGCCACTACACCTAGCTATGAAATTTTCTTCAGCAGTCTAAGTGTCACAGCTCTGAGAGGAAAGGTGTCCTGGCATTCAGAATCCAAGGGATGCCACAAAGACACTGCATACCAAACCTCACACAAGAGATTTATTGGGAGGTTGGCTGCCTCTGCTCAGGAGTAGAGCAGCAAAGACCTAAGCTGCAGGCAGGCTTTCTGTAGGTGTTCTACTCTGTAGGTGGAGCTTGGTTACCTGCTTCTCAGGGGACGCTGTGTGGCCTTGAGAGTGTTCTGTAGGAAGAGCCTGGCCATTTGTGCGCCAGGGGCTTACATGTAGTATAGACACTCATATTTTGCCAATACTTCTGTAAATAAGTCCTTACCTATGCCCCTGTTAGCAACCCTAATTACTTACTGGGTCACATACAGAAATACACCAAAAAATTGTCATGTTTTGGAGTTGGACATTTTAAGAAACACCGTAATTATTTACCAAGACTATTGGCTGTAAGAATGTCATTTTCATCACTTGTTTCCTGGGCCTGCTCTAATTCTGTTGGGTTTATGACTAGAAAATGCCTATAGTTTAGATGCCTCTGTCTAATAGAACAACAACAACAAAAATGTGTTGCTATAGAATCCCAAAAAAGGTTTTCTTCACACCGCTCTATAAGATAAATCTTCAGAAACCCCAACTACATTGTGGCACTTGGCTGTGAGACTAAACCTAAGAATGGATTCCATGGATAAGATTTTTCTTGTTATCTGTTTGTCTTACTTGCAGAAGTTTGATGCATTTTCCTCCTCAGTTCTGGCTGTTGTAATTCCTCCAGTCCTTCTCTCTTTCTTCCTATTCTAAGTCTAAAACAGAGACTTCTACAGAGTGGTCAGTTTGGTGAACCTTTGCTCGTAACAGAGCACTCTGCTGAGAAGTAGCTTTTGGTAGCTTTAGGAGAGTGGCCAGGTCCTGTGCTTAAAGTTCTAAGCAGCTGAAAGAAATAGTGAATAAATAGTAAGGCTAGATACAAGGCAGCGTCAGCCAGTGTCTAAAGCCCAAACAAATACCCTTAAATAATAATAGTATGGTTAAAGGGTCTGGAGAAGTAGCTCATCAGTTAAGAGCACTGGATTGTCTTCTTCCAGAGGACGTGGACTCAGTTTCCAGCACCCATGTGGTAGCTCACAACTCTCTAGTACCTCTAGTTCTGAGGAATCTGATTCCCTCTTCTAGCCTCTGCTGCCCCAAGGCATTCAAGTGGCACACAGACATACATGCAGGCAAGACACTTTTGCACATAAAATAATTTTTTAAAATAGCCTACTATATGCCAGGCGGTGGTGGCACACGCCTTTAATCCCAGCACTCGGGAGGCAGAGGCAGATGGATCTCTGTGAGTTCGAGGCCAGCCTGGACTACAGAGTGAGTTCCAGGAAAGGTGCAAAGCTACACAGAGAAACCCTGTCTCGAAAAACAAAAACAAAAAAAAAAAAAAAAAAAAAAAAAAAAAAAAAAAAAATAGCCTACTACAGTTTACAGGCTGAGTGTTATGGTTTGAGATACCTGGGTAGTTCCTGTTGGACTTGTAAGTTTGGCCTTCTGAATTTGCATGGCTTAGTGTACTACTTGGCCCCCTGAACCACCTTGTTACATGAAGTAACATGTTACATCTTATTTTAATCAGGTACAGCTCTTGTGTTGTTCAGTGAGGTGGTTTTAAAAGGGAGACAGTACAAAGGAGGCACGCACAGTGTCCCACCTTCTCTTAATTGCTTACATGACTAAACACCACGGGCTTGCCTTTTTATGTTCAGGAGCTTGAGTGCCTCCAGGACCATCTTGATGACTTAGCTGTGGAATGCAGAGACATAGTGGGCAACCTCACCGAGTTAGAGTCTGAGGTAAGTAATAAGTAGCTCCCTGGAGGAGAGGTGCTGCCAGCAGCCTGGCCATTATTGCTTAGCTCTTTTGTTTGTGTGCTCTTGAGAGTGCAGATGCTCTGTCAGTCAAAAGAACCTTAACAGTCTTTCCCTGTTAACTTTATAAAGAAGTACATTGTACTGAGTCCTGACCCCTTCTAATACAGTTCCAGAAAAGATATCTACATGGTTAGCTGTGTGGTTCTTCTTCACAGTTATCAGTTATTAGACCTTTTCTCACTTCTCACTTGAGAAAAGATGGCTTCTGCACTGCAAGTCTATGAATCACATTTAAAAGTAGTGTAAGCAGTGATAGTCTCTTATTCCTAAAGCTCATTTAGTGAGGTCATTTGGTGCTATTTGTGTGCTTAATAAAGTCCTGGGACTTGTAGTTATAAATGAAAGATTGAATACATGAGTTTATCTCTGTTGTACACTGAAACCTACTGAAATATAAAACATGAGATTTAAAAGCCTCATAAGTGTAGACAGTAATGTTCAGAAGAACAAGAGATAATAAAAACTCCAAAGAATTTGCATGCTCTAATATTATAGCCAAATATTTCATCTCCCCTTTCTTTGTTTTTGTTTTTGTTCTTTTCTATTTCTGAGTCAAGATTTCTCTGTGTAGCCCTGGCCATCCTGGAAGTCCCTCTGTAGACCAGGCTGGCCTCGAACTCAGAGACCCACCTGCCTCTGCCTTCTGAGTGCTGGGATTAAAGGCGTGTGCCACCACCACTTGGCACATCATCTCCCTTTTCTTAGTTCTGCCTCTTTATTTGTTCAACTTGCTAAAAGGATCTTTAATGCCAGCACTCAGGAGACACTGGCAGGCGGATCTCTGTGAGTTCTAGCTAGGGCTACATAGTTAGAGGAGATAGAGGGAAAACACACACACACACACACACACACACACACACACACCTTTTTTCTTCCTCATGCTTGGCTTTTGTGAAGCAGAGTGATTAATCTATTTCATCTTCTACAGGATATCCAAATAGAAGCTTTGCTGATGAGAGCCTGTGAGCCTATAATTCAGAACTTTTGCCATGTAAGTGATGTCTGGAGGAACATGGGCTACTAAGAGAACCAAATTCAATGGGACTTTGGGTTCAAGGTTGTGGGGTTCACCTCTGTCTTCAGCATACACTATTACAAACTTAGCAAATAAAAGCTGGAACTGTAAACAAGATTGAGGGAGGGGCCAACAGCTTGGGGAACCCTGATGATTATAGAGCTTGATCCCAGCAATTAGTAGCACTCTGCAGATGAGCGTGTGTGGCTAGCAGCAGTGGGTGAAGTGACATTATAAGAAAAGATACAGGAGAGATGGCTAGGAGGTTAAGAGCATTGGCTGCTCTTCCAGAGGTCCTGAGTTCAATTCCCAGCAACCACATCTATAGTGGGATATGATGCCCTCTTCTGGTGTAAAGGTATACATGCAGATAGAGCATTTGTACATTAAATAAATCTTTTTTTTAAAAAAAAAAAACTTGTTAAAAATTTTTTTAAGGGTTTGGGGATTTAGCTCAGTGGTAGAGTGCTTGACTAGCAAGCTCAAGGCCCTGGGTTCGGTCCTCAGCTCTGGGGAAAAAAAAAAAAGGAAAAGTTTTTTTTTTTTTTTAATAAAAATTATAAAACGAAAAGATACAAAAGAGAAACTCCAGGGTGTGGCTGAGTTGCTTCTCAGGAATTGTTAGCAATGGTAGTAGTTTCCCCTTCTAAATGTCTCCATTACACCTTAAAATGCCGAGTGACTTTTCGAGACAGGGTTTCTCTGTGTAGTTTTGATGCCTGTCCTGGATCTCACTCTGTAGACCAGGCTTGCCTCGAACTCACAGAGATCCGCCTGCCTCTGCCTCCTGAGTGCTGGGATTAAAGGCGTGCGCCACCACCGCCAGGCCTTTACTTTATTTCTTACTCCCTTTCTACCCAAATTGTAGGAGTGAAGTAACATTTAGTAACCGTTAAGATCTGACAGCTAGGTATTAATCCCAAAGTTGCTGCTGGCGTCATAGAAAGAAATAAGTAATAGTCCTCACAGTAGATGTTCTTTCTTCATGTATTTTCTAATGAATTTTTATCTTTCCTGGTTTCTTGGGCTTATTTTGAAGAATTTATGATGTATCTCTTTTTTGACGGCTTCTAGAGTCACTCCTATTTACATTTTCCCTGGATGGCACTATTGATTGTGTTGCTAATTATTACAAATAAAGTGTAAATGTGTACTGTTGTCTTCCTCAGGATGTGGCAGACAACCAGATAGATTCTGGGGACCTGATGGAGTGTCTGATACAGAACAAACACCAGAAGGACATGAATGAGAAGTGTGCCATTGGAGTCACTCATTTCCAGCTGGTCAGTCGATTTCCTGTCTTGGCTGCTGGGGTCATTACTGAATATCTTCCTGCTTTGGAACAACCAAGCAGTTCTGCTTTTCTCATTATTTCCAATTACATGCCCTATTTGGAACTTCTCTCAATAAATGTGACTTTCTCTACTCTGGCCAGGCACTCTTCTCAGCTACTTAGCATTCAGTGACAAATGAGATGTAATCCTAGAGAGCATTCATTGTAGAGGGGATCGAGACAAGTGAGCGGGCAACCCCTGCTCTGGTTAATGCTCACATGAAGTGATACTCACTATCACTGGAGTCTGTTGTTTTGTGTAACTGTTAATGCACTAACCTAGATGTTCATCAATACACTGGACCCTGAGTCTTTGCTCCACTGTGTTCCTCTCTTCTCTTTATTTCTTTCCCCATTATGTGCTGGAGATTGAACTTAGGGCCTCGCCTTACAAGCAGTTTTCCACTGAACTAAATCCCTACAAGTAAAATCCCCCACACACACTTTTTATTTAAATCTTATAACTCAGATGTACCATTTGAATATTATGGCTGGACCATACTTTTTTTTTTTCCTTTTATTTTACAATACCATTCAGTTCTACATAGCAGCCACGGGTTCCCCTGTTCTCCCCCCTCCCACCTCTTCCCCTTACCCCCAGCCCACCCCCTATTCCCACCTCCTCCAGGGCAAAGCCTCCCCTGAGGACTGCGATCAACCTGGTAGACTCAGTCCAGGCAGGTCCAGTCCCCTCCTCCCAGACTGAGCCAAGTGTCCCTGCATAAGCCCCAGGTTTCAAACAGCCAACTCATGCAATGAGCACAGGACTTGGTCCCACTGCCTAGTTGCCTCCCAAACTGATCAAGC